AATTATTACGTCCTAGCACCCGGAATCATCTATCTCTACGCATGATACCTGTTTACACATTCAACTATTGCCGATATCCTGGTCCTAGAGACTTTCTTTCATTAGAAATATTTCGTAAATCTTACTACTCGTTATTCTTGCTATGGTGTCAAGAGAAACTAATCATAGGTTCCGGTTTTTAACCTTCAATAGCCTTTGATCAATTTTCTAGACAAAAACTTTACTAAAAACAGTAGCAAAAGAAAAGTGAGACTGACCTCGGGTTCGAATTCTCCGCCTTCCATTACCTTTGGTCAAGTTTTTTGGAGAACATTAATAACTAATAACCAGTTAATAACTCATTAATTCAATCTGACCTCGGATTTGGATTCCCCGCCCTCAATTACCTGTGGCCAAGTTTATGTAAAATATTAATAATTAATAATCAGTTAATTAGTAATTAATCGTTAATTAATTAAAACTGGCCTCAGTTTTGAACTCCTCACCCCGGATTACCTTTGGTCAAATTTTATGGAAAATAATCCTTTTTGTTTTCACATTATTCTTGGACCAATCACTGAAGTGCGGACATACAAGCAAGCAAGCAAGCAATCAGACAATTTATGTTTGCTAGACTCTTCTCTATGAGAAAGAGGAAAAGTCGTTTTTTGGTGAAATAATTTTTTTTCTAAAACTATGAAAAACTAATGTGATCATTGGATTTTCCGATCCAAAAAATCTTTTGGGCAAACTTTATAAAAAAAATTTTTTTTTTAAAAAAGTCGTTATTTTGGCAATAAAAAAATTTTTTTACAAAATTATGAAAAACTAATGTTACCATTGGATTCCCCGATTCAAAAAACTTTTTGGTCAAACTTTTTAAAAAAAATTATTTTTTTTAAACAGTCGTTTTTTTGTAAAAATTTTTTTTTTACAAAATCATAAAAAACTAATGATACCGTTGGATTCCCTGACCAAAAAATCTTTGGTAAAACTTTATAAAAAGCACATCCTTTGTGTTTTCACATTATTTTTGAGTCAATCAGTGAAGTGCGGACATACAAGCAATCAAGCAAGCAAACGATTTATTTTTGCTAGACTCTTCTCTACGAGAAAGAGAATAATCGATTATCATCTGATTTTGTTGTGATTATTACTGCTTAAACTATTGATTAAAGGTGTATGATTAAAATCGATTTTTAACCGACTTTTTGATTATTAAAACTGATTTTTTTACACATTTTTTTTACATGGGTAAGAACCAAACAAAGTCAATATATAGTTGTTCGTTTTTTCTTTGCAACATATTTCTTCGTCGAAAAAAAACAATGCGTATTTCTGGTTGCTAAATAAACACGTATTGAAGCAAGTTAGAAGAATAAAGGTAAACTTAAATATATTTTTTTTCATTCTTGGTTGGCTTCTGACTATATTTTGCTTGATTCTTTTATTTCATATGCATGAAACCTTTTGCGAGAGAATAAGCATAGTGCTCTTGAATTTCGATGAGATGTGCAAACGGGATGGCAGGGGGACTGGGGAAGAGTCAGAGAGGGATAGATAGGAAAAAAATATTAGATGAATATAAAATTTTCATTCTGTTTGATTAACATTTATTTTGCGAGGGTGTGGGATGTGGGTGTGGATGGAAGTGAGTAAAGATATCACTTTTGCGTTCCGTTCCCAGGAACGGGAACGGGAACATGACATGTGGCTCCCTTCACTTTTAACGGAAACTTTCCTAGTTCATCGAGCGAAAGACAATTTTCTAAAAATTCCGAATTTTTAGGGTGAGGGTGTGGGGTGTGAGTGTGGGCGTGGATGTGGGTGTGAGTGTGGATGTGGGTGTGGGTATGGATGTAAATGTTCTCTTTGCGAATACCAACACCCGCACCCACACCCTTAGGCAACATTTGAAATTCACAGTGTATCCAATATAGTATATTTGCAATGAACAAGGGCCACTGAATTACTTTTTCTACCTATTAGTAAATCAATGTGACCGATGGTGATCATACTACTAGATGAGATAAGTAATAGGTAATCAAATCGTGGGAATGTCTTTCAGAATACGATCGAAACTGATAAGACTGACTAAGGTCAAACCAATAATATTTGACTACTTGCCAAAACATACATGATTATTTCCGAAGCACTTACACCTCTTAGAACAAATACATCCGTAAGTACAGATGCCAGTTTCATTTTCCGTCCCTTGAAAAATGGTAGTACATGCCGAGTTACTAAGAACTGGAAACTGCGTAATGTATTGTGAGAACTGAAAATTCAAATGTAGCTTCTGGTTCTGAGGAACCTGCCTGTGGTTTACGGTTTCTGGAAATGGGAGTTACTTGTGAGTTCTCGTTTAGAAGAAGTCAAGGACGTCTAGTGATGGGTAGAAAAAGAAAAGAAATGATATCTATATATTGTAGATGCTCGAGAACGCACAAAAGTGCATGATCAAATGTGTTCATAGTCTTTAGAGTATGAGCTTCAAGAAATAAAAATATTGCCACTCCACTGTCAAGATATTTTTCATCAAATATTGTTATGATAATCAAATGTAACACGGATAATCAATGGCAGTGCACAGCGTTACAAAGTAATAAGGAATCCAAGATATGTTATGTTCTGATTGAAGATTGAAACACTTACTTCTGCGTTTTCGCTGTGCGCAAGAAGATTTGTTGTGAAATAAAAATTGAAAGAAATCGACTGCTTTGTTGGTTAGGAGAACAAATGTTCCTTTTGCGTTCTCATTGTTGACGTAAAACACATCTTTTTCTCAGGCAGGAGGGCTCATCAATACTAGAAGATTTTTTTTTCTTCTGCTACCATTCGTATGAAACACAATTACTTTTTGTCGATAAAACAATCAGTTGCTATGTGTGACTTTATTGACAAATCACATAGCAACATCTGTTTTGGTATTGAAAACATTTTTTCTTTATAGTTCGACAAAAAATTTATGTCTGAAGATATATTCTTCTACAGCTATTAAAGCAATTTCTTGCAGCCTGATGGATATTGCTCGCTATGAGCAAACCCATAAGTTCTAACAATGAGCCGATGTGGGTGTGGGGGTGAGGGTGTGGAGTGGGTGTGGGCGTGGGTGTGGGCGTGGGCGTGGGCGTGGGTGGAGGTGTGTGGGTGTAGTTGAAAAAAAGAAAAACATCCATATGCACACTAACAGTCACTCACAAAACACCCACACCCCACCATTACGTTCATTAGAAACTGCGCTTGTTTTCGTTGCCAACGAAATAATTTCTGAACAATAGTGAATGAAGAACGTCTCTAGGATAAGTAGTTGTCTTAACTGAATAAACTGGTTTTCTTTTTTGTTTCTGTAGTTTTTCTTGGGTGAATTCATCGATTAAATTTGACGTCCTCTGCTTCTCTTCTCTTCGTCGAATAATCTAGGGATGCACCAATTCCTAGAGCATGATATGAAAGATGGCAATTTTTTCTGTTAAGAGTGTAACTGGCTTTCCATTGTTTGCATCAGTTATGATCAACTTTTTTTGCTCTACCTGAAACTGTGATCGAGATTTTCGAAATAAAAAATAAAGGTCATGGAATTGGTCTGGAATTGGTCGAAAATTGGAATTTTGAACTTTTTTTTGACCGATTCCAGACCAATTCCAACTGATTTTGAGGCTCGTGCTTTCTTTGGGATAAAATCTATCACTAGATTCAGAAAGAGCTTTCAAAACTGAATACAACTGGCATAAAGAATTATCGAAAGTCTCGTAATTCGTAAGACGAAATCTATTTTGATTTTCATTGAGAAATTCCAGGAATTGGTCGGAATTGGTTTATGCTGCATAAAATACCAGACTTCCAGTTTTGCCCAGCTGCAGAGTATACGATGATGCTGTATGTCAATTGTATTCAGTTTTTTTAGCTCTATCTGAAACTATGATCGAAATTTCTGAAATAAAAAGTAAAGGTTACGGAATTGATTTGGAATCGGTCAAAAAAAAGTTCAAAATTCGAATTTTCGACCAATTCCAGATCAATTCCATGATCTTTATTTTTTATTTCGGAAATCTCGATCACAGTTTCAGGTAGAGCAAAAAAAGTTGATCATAACTGATGCAAACAATGGAATGCCAGTTACACTTTTGACAGAAAAAATTGTCATCTTTCATATCATGCTTTAGGAATTGGTGCATCCCTAGAATAATCCGATTATTTCATCTGTACTCAAACTCGTTTCATCGTATCGTCTCGTGCATCGCACCTTTATGGTTTTATCCAATTCTTCTTCTGCGTGATATTGTCACACATATACTTTCGAGAATTTCTCGATGACTATATAAGTTTGTGATAAATAAAAGATAAGAAAAAAACACATGTGTTTTGTCTTCGATTAACATATTTGACGTAGTTTTGCTGTCACTGATTCATTCGATATAAGAAAATGCAATCTTTTTTCGAAACAAATACTTCTGATGTCGTTTGCCGTTTAAATAGATGAATATGAGAGCGAATGATGCAAATTCATCCCATAGAAAAGTTTTCAGTTGAAATAGTCACCATTAAGTACTGATGTTCTCCTTGTACAAAATGAAAAACGATAATAGTAACATTGATAACCAGTTTAGTTACTTTCGCACTACTTTACATTATAGTTGTTGCTCATTCTCACTTACTCTAGCACTTCATATGGTTATGACACATACTTCGCTCCTTATCCTTTCTATTACTTAGAAGTACTATACATTTTGAGGATTTCCCGTACTCTCAAGGACATTAAGTAATAAGCTAGTTAGTAATACTTTCCAACTGTTGATTTCAAGCACACGATTACGTAGAGACATTCTCGAAGGAGAAATCTTTACGATCACGGATAACCGGGCCATCAATGGAGTCAATAGTGTAGAACTTGAAAACTGAATTCAATTGAAACTATCTTTTCAATTGAAGACATTTCAAGCTTCAACTTTCTATACACGTATGCACTTCAATGACCTAGAAATAGTGTTTTCCTATATCTTTTATATTTTATGAAAGTAATGGATTTTCATATAATTCGTGGAACTTCGTTAACATTACATCAACGGCAAAACCAAGCCATTTCACGACTGGCTCACTCATACAGTATGCCGCCGCTTCAAAGATCTTCAACAGAATTGGAACGTGGTGAACGAGCAGGTACGGTTGGTATGCTTTCCGCACAAACACAATCTTCAAAACTATCCCGTCCAACACCTATGACTTGGCCAGAATTGACGGAATCTTTAGAAGCATGGGAAGATCCTGAAGATGGCGTGCAAGATGTCGAGGCAAAGAAAAGAATCAAGAATTGTTTTAGGCAACGTTCAGATAGACTGGATTTATCCTTTCTTTCTCTAAGCACACTTCCTGATGTGATTGGAAGAATGCAACATGTACAGTTTTTATCGATCGCCAATAATTACTTTTCAGAAATACCTCAGGCTTTGGCTAATTTGGCTAACTTAAGACTATTGAATGTTTCCAATAATGTATTGAAAGAGGTGCCCGATAGTATCAAAGAATTCAAAGAATTGGAATTATTCAATGCAGCCTGTAATCAGCTTAGAAAAGTTTCGGCAGAATTGGCTCGTTTACCAAAAATTGAGACGGTGATGTTGGCTCATAATCGTATTCTAAAATTTCCTGAAAATATTCATAATATCAAAGATCTTGATTTGGAAGACCAAGTTCCACTGGCGTCGTTTAGTGACTTTTCCATAGAATTCGCAGCACGATGGGAAGAAGATTTTCAGTATGAAGCTGGGTCAGGTTATCTGGAGATATGGGTGGCACGTTATGAAGAAATTCTCAGGCTGCCGGAAGCTGCAAAATATCGCGAAATATTTAAAGAACGTATCGGTATATTGTTGGATACGATGATGAAAAATCCGGGTTTACGTGCACGATGTTATTATCACGCACAGAATGTCATTGCAACGTGTCATGATGGTATTTTATTCTCCTTATTCGAAATGGAAATCAAACAAGTTGAGGAAAGAATGATCGCCTTGCAATTATCTGATGAAGAAGTTCGACAGGAAATGGAACGAGCTTTTAATTTTTATCGTTTACAAGAACTTGCTTTATTACACTCAGAACAACATTCTTACAAACAAGCAGCAACTACGGAAGAAGTAAAGGTTGATACACTTGAAACGGTCTTGTTTTTCTACACCTCTCCAGCAAATACTTTGGATATGCCATTGGGAGGTGAGAGATTACGTTTTATGCGTTATCCAACATTGTCGCAAGCAACTCTTGATGATGTAAGAGAAGCGGTTGAACAAATTCAACGGGAAAAAAGAGAACTTGGACAAGACTTTTTAGTTAATTTTATTTCAGATAAGGAATTTTGGGTGAATTATTTAGAAAGTCGTTATGCAGATATCATTGCAGAACATACGCACATTTTTATGGATCAGATGGAACAATTGGAAGCCAAAAAAGACAAAATCAACGAATATGATTATCTCACACAAGCAAATGCTATAGACGAAGATAAGAAAGATTCGGAACAAAGGTTGTATCGTCAATTGACCAAGAACATTGTTGAGGATTGATTTTTTTATTGTGTTTCTAATGGATTTTTATTCTTAGGTGGATTTCTGTGTATCGAGGGAAAAATAAATCTAGTAAAAAAGCTTCCTTTCGAGGATGATAGAGAGATAAAGTTATCATTATTGCGCTTTCATTTCAGCTAAGAGAATCATCAGATGGTTTGAATCTCTTGAATCAATACATCACTCTGTTACTGATGACTCATCTCGAAAGCCAGCCAACAAATCAAAGGCATCAACAACAGTGTTTCATTGTTCGACAAGTGGTGAGATAAATATCAGAGTTTTTGAAAGCGAATCTATATGAAGTGATAATATTCGGATAGAAAAGAGATATCCATTGAGATCTCCAAAGTTTGTTGAGAATATGAGATGCATCTGATTAGGTTTATCAGAATATCATCGAGAATTAATGAATCGTGGGACGGGTTGGATAACAATGTTTTCGTAAGGCGTTCGTGAGATGATAATGAAAGTTTCTTCCTGCACTAATGCAAATATTCATGGGTTAAAAGAGATAATTACAGAATTAAACATCTTGTTATCGATAGGCAGGTTGACCAATGCTTATGATGATTTCATCAATTGTTTTTGAAGTTCTCAATTATTTTTATTGTTTATTTGCAATGAGTTACTAAGAAGAAGTCTATTCAGGAGGGATAGAAGAAGAATTATCAAAGTTGAGTAGAACAACATAATACGATTGATGAGCTTTTGTGAAGTGAAAGAAATTAGAGAGGTGGTGAATGTGCATTCGATAGTGTAAAAGTGTTCTATATCGGTGTTAAATGAAATGGTGAATCGATTGTGTTTGTATTCGGTTCTCTGTCATGCAAACAAAGACCCATAATATTAGGTGTATGCGTAGCAAGATCAATGGTAGATGGATTTGGTGTAAATTTATATTGTGTCCAAACGTAAAATGTTAGCAGGAGGGAAGTCCATTTTCACTGTAACTTATCAATAAAATGATTTTCCTAGTTATGAAATTATTAAGATCTATCGAGATATTGATCTAATTAATGCTTACTAATGTTATATATTTTCTAACGCGGATAGTCCTTATATCACAGTACAGAACTATAGTTTAGGGACCCCGATCTTGCCTTCACTTTATATCGAGTAAGGATAGCTTAGCATTTGAAATGCTGAGAGCGAATTCAGAAATAGTCCATCACCTCATCAAACACGGTCATACTCTCGACAATGTTGTCTGATTGCAAATGAAAGTGCATCATCGAAAATCTCTAAATTCAAATATTTAGCGCATTATAATATGACCATGAAAAGTTATGAAGTACACATTGAATGGACCAGATATGGCGCTTTAACTTTAACTACTTTATTAAACTGTTTTTAAGTTAGAGTGCCATATATAATTAGCACAATATATCGATATTATCGTTTCATGATAATAGCAAAAAAATGCAGCTATCGCTAAGTGTGTTAACGTTTTGTATGTGTTCTGTCACTTTTGCGAAGACATATCTTGTACAGCATTGATATTTCGAAAAATAATTTAATCTATTATTCATCTGAAAATTTATTGTAAATATCACTTTCCTGATACAATCCAAACAAGCAATTTATGCTCGTTTAACTTAATGAAAACAACTTCACTAACTCATTTTTATAGGAGTTATAAATCCGATACTATATATACATATATATAGAAGTGCTGAGAAATATCAATGAAATTCTTCTGGAAATTTATTATATTTATTGTGAAAAAAAAATAACTAAGAAAACAATAACATGACCATTTCGACATGTGAAAATGTATAGAGAATTGCAGAAAGGTAATTATCAATCATCTGACTTTGTGGCTGCTTTTTCATTTGTATTTTTCTTCTAGAGAGACTTTTTTGTCGTATTATGGATCATTATTTTTTAATAACGATTTGATTAATCTAAATTTCACAAAAATAGAAATATCTTTATTCTTATCCTTTCTGAATCAATAATAACACTGGTTATATTGCTTAAGTGATATTACATGTTTCCCTATTGCAATAAATATGTAATTAACAAAACACTTTTTTTTTGTTGATATATTATTGACAAAAATGAGATGATTACTTGATTTTGCTGTGACACAATACAAATATGTGAGAACAAAATAATTTTTTCGAAGAAAGATCATAAACACATTTAGATGTCATAAACTTTCCTAATATACCTTTTCACAACAGCTATATGGACAAAGTCATTCATTAGTGGCATGACTGTGCAAAATGAAAATACAGTGGGTTCCAAAATTATTCAACAAAATGTAATTTGGATTTTTTTTCGTAGCCTTAAGTGCTAGAAAGAATTCAAATAGTGATTTGAATAGAGGATATTGGATGTGGGTATGGGTATGGGTTACGGCACAGATGATAAAATCAATACTCACACCAAAATACACACCCTCATTCGTTGAAATATAGTGCCTGGTGATCAGCGACTATTGTGAAAATTATGTTTTCTTTTCTTATGATTACTGAATCTCCACGCGGTCTTCTCTCATTGTCCAAAACTTCTCAACCCATAGATGAAATATAATTTTTGTTCTGGAGAATTGAGTTGCTCTAGCACAGAAGCGAGTAGACATTCATGAAACAAGCATCATTCAAATTATTAAAAAAATGTTTCGATTCGTTCTTTGTTGCGATGAAACAATGTGTTAATTCCATTTCGTCGTTTTTCTCTGTAGTGACAATACAAAAACAGTTTCTTACCTACAGCCACTTTACATTACGATCGGATAAACATTATGCTATTGAAAAGAGATGCAATCGAATACATATTTTTTCATTTTGTGAGCTAGATGTGCTTGTTCGAATTGCCATACTATTTCTGCTTTGATGAATTGTATGTTTAGTAAGTGAAATAGATTGGATAGATGTCTTCATCGTTGTTTTCCATGCAACAATCCTTATCTAGCCGATCGCGAGTCAGAGAAGGATCTAGTAGAAAGCAGTGGAAAAAACGAATGAGTTTCCCTACCCTATTGATACATATTCATAAAATGCAACTCACTGATATTTAACATACTTAGTTTTAAGACAATTGACACTGATGTTTTTAGAAAAAGTATTACAAGGTTATCGGTCGATGTTTCTTTGACTTACCAAATTATGGCCCGTAAGATTTTCTTGAGGCACTAATGCTTTCAAAAATCACACACTCCACCTTAGAGTATTCTATAACCATAATTCTGTTTCGTCTCATTACCCTAAACTCTATTGATAGTATGCATCTACAAGACCTATTTTCATCGCGCTATGCTGAACCCAGACAACATGATCGCTTCAGATACTATGGATCTAATTTTCATACATTCCAAGCGAGACATATTTAACAAAAATTTCTTCTCGTCGTAGTTGGTTTTGAATACACTGATGCAAAAGTAGGTAATTCCGTCAAACGAATGAAAGATTCTCTTTCATTCATCGACATTACATTATTGACAAAGATAGTTATAGCTGAGATCAACACTTCTTATACTGTGTTTCTACATCTTTCTACAATACTATTCTATTTTTGAGAAGCAGATTTTAAATAGTCTCCTCCCAGAAAAGCTCGCACCCTTGACTGATCGGACTCTCATTTCATTTCAAGTCTAATCGATGCGACCCCTTTGTTCTAGTTCTTTTCCAGCAAAAATTTTTCCTGACACGTGAAAGTCTTCCTCTGAACTGTATCTGCTCGAACGCTATCAATGCTACTAAATGGTAGAGGATTAGAATATGATGATCAGTCGTTGATCGGTGGCGCTGGAAAATGAAACCTACTCGTATTATGCACAGCAGTATTGACTAAATGAAAATATGTGATAACACACTGAGATAGACCATTTATGCTTGGGACACAAACATTATTTTCTCAAAAATCTTACTACTGCTAAATTTGAATGCAGTAGTTTTGAGTACGAGAATTTTACTTTGAGAGATCGCAGTTTAAATTGGAGTGCACTAATATAAAATGATTGAAGTTAAGGTTTATTATATCTCTTATGTTTTTTTTTGTCGATGAAAGATAATTGATACGATAAATTAAGCTTTCACTGCATCAAATTGAATTCTGTAATCGGTAGCAACAACGACGATCATCTGTCCAAATTCTCAATCATGCATTCTGGTTGTTTTCTATGTGTTATGTAAGGATTCTTTTGAATGAATGCTCTTTTACTATCGTCAAATAACTATTCTTTTTTTGATTTTTTAGACTTCCATTAAGTATCGGTTTGTCTCTTAAAAAACAGTATAGGTCACATCTATTCATTTGAATGATGTTCTTTTTTTTCTTAACTGTAGCATTTTTCATCGTCAATTGCATCTATGCGCAACCCGAAATTCCATGTGATCCGTCCGCGAGTGGACCCTGTTCGGAAAAGGCCTATTGCTGGTGCGCATCGTTAGTAACAGGAGAAGGCATTTGTACAATTGGCATCCACTGTGCTTCTGCACTATCTTGTAATGCCACCAGTCCATGTCAAGAAACTAATTCAACTTGTGTCTTCGACGCTCGATGTGGTGTTCGTGGTGTGTGCTATCCAAACATAATATTCAGGACAGAATTTTGTCCACCCATCGTTCGAAAATAAATACAACAAACAAGTCCTCTTATCCATGAACAAGAGTTGAATTCGACTAACTTTATCTGAAAATTTCCTATTTGATTTTGCTTTATTTCCGTCAATAAACATGAGATAATAAATCAGAAGATCATTTAGTGGCAGTTTATGGTGCGACTATTGAAAGTCCCTTGGGTGTGAGTGTGGATGAATCTTCAAGAAAAGGTCTACAGCCACACCCTTACCATTTTTCGAATAATTTTGATAGGAACGAGATAGATAGCTGCAGTTTTCACCATTCGAAAGAACGATGTCCGGACCATCGATCGGTACAGAATTCATTAAGACAAAAGATGTTTGTTTTATAGGTACTTGTGGATCAAGATTTTTTTGTTTGACTATTTTCATTCTTTTTCACAATAATCTCAACTCAAATTATATTAAAATGTAGCTCAAATTATCCTTTTTTCGCTATAAAATTATCGCATATTTCATTATCTTTCAATCTCTTATTCTAAGCGGATTTAAAAAAACAAACTTTAACTTTATAGAAGAAAGGGTGATTTGACCTACATTTTGATATAATTTGAGTTGAGATTAATGTGAAAATGGATGAAAATACTCAAACGAAAAAGTCTTAATGAGTTCTATACTGATCGATGCTCCGGACATCGCCCTTTCGAATGGTGAAAATTGCAGCTCTCTATCTCGCTCCTAGCAAAAATTGTTCGAAAAATGATAGCCTGTCTTTTATTTTGGATCAGATAATAGTATATTGAGCTCTACGTGAATCTCACCAGTCAATTGAGACAAAACTGAAGCCGAAAGAAAATTAGTGTTATATGGGACAAATGGCGTATTTACTTTTTATGATCTTCCTTGTGTCCAATTTAATCGTAAAGCCCGTTTGGATGCAGAGCCAAACTTTTGTGGCGGGGACAACTTTTCGAGTTCTTCCAGATGGTACAAAAAGCCCATGGAAAAAATCAAAAATAATACAATGTAAATTAGTCATTTTCTGCTTGCTTTTCTTACCGTACTGTTCGAAATCTTTCATATTACCGATAGTGGCTTTTGGTAATCTTTTTTTTCAATGTAAAACATATGAACGATTGTATGAAAAAATGAAATAATTTTTAGTAATTATGAACTCTTGCAAATTTCATTGTACTGTTTGTTCGCACTCTCAAAGATCGAGCATCATACATCAATTATTGACACAAACAAAACGATGATCAAATTATTTATTAGTAATCACACATTACTTAATTGTATATGCTTTCTATTTTGATGAAATGGATTTTTTGTGAAAACCTAAATGTCGCGTACTTCGATGTGTCTGCTCTGATACCAATTCGATTCATCACTGACAATCACAGAAAGTCACTATTAATTATTGATGTATATGGCTCACGAATTAGATCCTATACAGAATAAAATGCACAAAATATGATCGATTATGACGCGCGAGTTGCTGAATTTTAGTTACCAAATATATACAATAATTGTTAATATATTTTTTTTATAAATTATATTGAACATCAAGTATAGAAACGAGGTATTACTCTTCTTGTCATGTATTGAAGTACAGTCTCTCTACTAGGTAGATAAGCTGCTTCGACTGGATGTCGACATAATGGACAAGTATTTCGTGCTCGCAATGCACTTAACATACAATCAAAATGAAAAGTATGCTTGGGTTCACAAGGCCATTGAGCGAAATGCTGACCAATAAGGAATTCTTCGTAGCAAAGACTGCATTCTATATTGGATTGATCAATATTGACTACTTGACGACCTTCTAAACGAAATTGTGCAATAAAACGAGGTGATGCCGATGTTATACGGTGCCACATTCGATTGAAGTCATAACCATAGGTACGATATTGATATTCCGCCTCTTCTTCTCTAAGAGCCTTGAGATGGCGTTCATGCTCTTCTTGGTGAGCCTGTAGAATCTCTTGTTGTTGACGAATCTGTTCTTGTTCCAAACTAGAACGAAAAAGAGAGAATGCTTGTTTTTTTAATGGAAATAGCTAAATAAATAGAATATACCGGTGTCGATATAGATCACTGATATGTATCAATCGTTGATGAAGCCATTCACTAGTATTGGAATCTCCAAGGTGTGAATCATTTGGAAAATAGATATATTTTGAACGGAAATTATTTGCCACTACAATGTGATAGTCTCTAACTAATTCGATAGTATCAATAGAAATAATTTTAAACGGTGAATGTTCATCAAATTGACGTAGAATTTCTGGATTATTTTCATTAAAATCGATCATTAACATGACGAGATATTTATTTTGTATAAGAAATAGTCTATCATTGTATTTATTTTCGATGATTGTGTTTAATAAAAGATTATCTAATATTAAAGTTGAAGTAATATTCGATTTTCCAAGTTCATTTTGTACAGAATGATGAATAATAAATGACGGTGGATGAATCCTATTGAATAGATACATTCCTAATGAGAAGAGAATTTTTATCAATGGCCGTATGAATAAGAGACAAACGAGAATATAGGCTATGTACGGGCAATAAGGAGACGAGCCATCGAATACCATCATGTCATTGTCCAATTTATAGGATTTATTCGAATCTAATAGGTAGACTGTTTCATCTTTCGGTCGATAGAGATATCCGAGTAAAATACCACATTTAATGATGACTTTTATGTTGAATAATGTTGCATTTCGATTATAGATTTGTTCAATTGCTTGAATGTACAATGATTTTTCATTCCATTTGAGATATTCCATAGGTGAAATATCGAGTTGTCGAACAATACATTGTAATGTATGAATATGGAACGCTCGAAAATTATAAGAAAGCCGTCGATGAATATGAGATTGTTTGTTTGATGGCAATTTAACATAAAATTTATAATTATAATGATCAATGATTGGTACTCTTACACGATTGAATGTGTACAATAATTTTTCATATGAACGTTGACCATTGAATACTCCGAATGAATTTGTCATATTCTGATCAATCATATCTTCACCAAGTTCTATTTGAAGATATTCATGATCAAATGACAACGAATAAGAAAAAACAGATCGTATATCATATCGGAGTCCAGTGTATGTTTTAAATCGAATAGCAAATTGATCAAGATTAGTATGAAATGGACCCATCCATGCATTGTACATTCGATTATGAGATTGAAACAGTATTAATCCGAGAATGCAAATGTGTAAATAAGCAAATATATTTCTAACATTTCGAAGCCGTTTATGTTGTGTATCATGAATGCGTTGACTATGAATACGTATAAGTAATGGTAACAGTAACGATGATTCAGTGTCAACGTCAATGGATGTTTTCTGCTTATACCAGCGTAACATCAAACTTTTCTCTAAAAGCAGATGACACAAAAAACAAAACACACATCTATAGCATTTGTAATACAAACAGAACTCTATTCTACAGTTTTTCGTTATTATATCACTGCTTTGTAATAGAGATCACATTGATGAAAACTGAGTAATGCTGTTGCACAGAAAAAAAATCACATTTTTTGATGCGATAATTCTATTAGCTGCATGGAAAACCAATAAACTTACTTTTCATAAACGCACAGCTACTCGTATGTATTCGAATATTCGAAAAAGAAAAAGTCAAGTCTTCAAACAAAGAACAACTAAAATGAATCTCACTTGTTTGCGCTATAGACTGTCGAATGAAAAGAAAGAAAGAAAACGTTATCGATGTAAAAAAAACCAACACTCAACATTTTCCTTTACTTTCCTACTCAATGAGTCAGGATGACGTCAGACACATTCGTGATAGGTAGAGTAATGGCTAATGCAAAAGTTCTTGAACAGCAGTCAAATTCTGTTGTTTTCAAAAAGAAAAAAACTCTTATAATCGGTAAAATGTATAATGTTTTTGATACTAAAAAAAAATTGTATGTTTCAATCGAAAATGGATTATAATGAATTTTCAAAAATTATTGGTGTCTATATGGATTTTGACGAACTGAGTTCATCGGTTCAAGAACATCTCGATCTTATTGATAAACAATTGTAAGCAGTCAGTTTCTTTGATCAACGTTAAAATAATCTACTGAAGTTTTCTTTTTTTTTCATTACTGTACATTATAATCTTACGTCTATTACGTAAACAATAAGTAAAGAAACAAATGATCGATGTTTTTCATCAATCTTATCAGGTAAATCAAAACAACAACAACAATCGATTAATCAATTTCAATGAGACAGATCTGAAAAAGAATAATGATCATGGTTATGAGCTTCGTTTTTATCTGAATCATTTCTAGGCAACGGAACGAATATTTGAAAAGAATGAACTCAATTTTGAAACATGAACATATCAGTGCCGATAGAGCACACAGATACCTTCACATCGGAAGTTCTCGAAAATCGTTGAGTTCTGTCAGATTTTAGCAGGTGAATCGTAAGAATCATCCTCATTCATTTTCTTCATCGCTCTCTTATCTATTGCTTCACTTCTACATCTTTCATGAACCCATTGTGAGATCATTTCCAGTTTGCCTATTGAAAACGACAAGTTTTCATTCAAATTCTAACACTATCGATCGACAATTATGAATCTAATAGATAAATAACGATACTGAGTTGATGAAATTTAGAGCAGCTCATTCTCAAATTAATTTAAGGATAGTTTCTTGTGTGATTAAATCGAAAAATCGCACTCACATCTTCATTTCGCCTAAAATCTAAAGACTTTAAATGATTTCTATTCTCAACATGTGGGGCGTGGGCTTTTATTAGAAGAAAACTCACAACGACGCTTCGCCCATACGCACATCCCGCACACAGTCCACACTCACATCCTGTTCCATTCCATTCAGAGTTCTGGCCGATCAATTTTTAATTAATTCACCGACACCCTAAAGATTGCAGAAATTAGACAACTACCAACATTGAAACTTGAACTACTTTCTATGTTATACAATTGTATGGTAGATCTCTATCTGGAAATGTTTTATCATGCCGTCATAATGGAACGAGAAAGTCAACGACGAAAGTGTGCTAATGTTCGATAAAGTGATGAATGCCATTATACGTAAATACATGCGTATAACTGCCTATAATAGTAGATGCTAGCATATTTCGTGTTGCCATTAGAATTCATGAAAATTTACTTTTTCCATCGATTATAATTCATGCTATTAAAAATTATCAATAAAATAATTCCATAGACTTCAAAGTCTAGGATTTTCAAAATGGTACTTCATTTCAAATGTTCGATGTATCGGTTTGCATTGATGACATTTATCTTTATGATTTTCTAGCTAGATTTGACAGAACAATCACATTTCTTTCAGAGATCTTCTTATTTCTTGTACAGCGAGAAAATTGAATTCATCGTTTCCTCCACGTATCACAGACTGTGACAGACATATCGAAAACGGTTCTGCATAGTCGCATCTTTAAAATCACTTTGTACAATCATGTGTTTTCGAACAAGCGGTTTGCATGTTATTCAATTGTTCTACAAATAAACCTTGCTCATTGTCTCTTCATTGCATCATCAGTATTGCCAATGAGTTGTGCAATACTTGCGACTTGTATTTAGGATGGTAAAAAATTACATTAACCATTTTCTTCTCTTACATGCATGTGTCAGAGTCAATAAGAAACGAAGGTATATGACTCAGCATTGTCGTTTTCGCGACATCATTGGAATTTTTCTTTTTACACGAATGAGTAATAGTAATAAATAAAATGTTGTGGTAATTTTTTTTAGAACTAAAACGTTGTATTCATATTATGGACAAACATGGAATGCATAAAACAACAAGCAGGTATTGTCATTTTCATTGTCTGAATAGTCACAGTCATTGTAGTAGTCTATATGAGTCTGTTATGAAACATTGTTAGACAAAAAAAATCTCAAGATTTTCATGTCAGACTTTCGGTATTGTTGTTTATCATTACGCATAGTCAGTACGTCTACTCGTTTCATAATCAGTATCATAATCTACGAGAAAGAAAAGATGCAAAGGGGAAACATTTTTTTTTCTTTGTATCATACTTTCATAGTAGTATCAGATGTTGCAAGCAAACTACATGCATGTGTTCTCATGTCATATGATATTCTTACTTTCTCTGTTTCTCCCTTAATAAGCGCATATTTTTCGTATAATGATTATAACTTGCCATGTGAACAGTACAATAGATCTATTTCGTTTTCTCTTGAGCAATGTGAGCATTAAATATACAAGAAAGATATACATTCTAGTTTTACTATGTTGATTATTGCTTTCTTAAGTCTAAATATACTTATGTAAATTTGACATAGGCACAAACAAAATCACATGTTGCCACTACAAAATGGTGATTCCATACCTAATTATTCTTCTTCTGATTTCAATGAACTATACGAATTCTTTAAAGGGTCAAAGATTTTATTGATCTTCAAGTTACCTCTATTTCTAATTGGAACTGTACTTTATATTATTTATTATATCGGGAAAAGTCTAATTGTACAATTGACTCGTTGGTGTTATGACATGATAATCTTTTTTGCTTCGCTTATCGAGAATATATTTTATCATATAATATTAGCCTGCAAACAATTGGCAAGATTCGTTCAATATTTGAGTCTAGAATTTTACAGCAAAGTACTAAAGCCTATCGGAATTTTGATTAACAATCGTATACTTCCAACAATCTATAATGGAATTCGATTCATTATAAATAAGATAGTGTGGTTCGGTTTCCAGTTCTACCAACACATCATTCTACCATCGGTAGTAGTTTTTAATAAATATATCATCGTACCAACTATAAGTTTATTCAAAGACATTTGTACTGACTTGTACAATACCATCTATTTACTGTTGATCATTCTTCGAGAAATATCAATTTGGATACGGAAATATATCATCAAAACATTATGTGTATTTATGTATTATAATATGCTGTTGCCTTTCATCCATGCTATTAGGAAAATCTATTCATTCGTCTACATTCAAATATTAATACCAGTATATAGGCTACTAGTTTATATTCTGTCAAGTATTTGCTGCATAATATGTCAATCGATTTTCGGTGCTACTGCGTATTTTATGCGTACTATTGATCACACTTGCCATGCAGGTAAAGTCATACATCGCTATATCCTCAAGCCTTTCTTTCATGGTATATTTATTATCTGTTCATTTGTCTATATTCAAATATTAATACCAGTATATTGGCTAATAGTTTATATTATGTCAAGTTTTCAGTACATATTACATCAATTGATTCTCTATGCTACTATGTATTTTATGTGTGCTATTGATCAGGCTTGTCGTGCATGCAGAGCCATACATCACTATGTTATCGAACCTTTCTTTCATGGTATATTTAT